ATATAAGAAATAATTTATTTGCCATGAATTAAGTTTATGATATTTAATGAAATGACCATGCCCCAGTCAGTGAAAGTGTCTTCCCTACCCCTAGACCTAGAGGGTTAAGTCACTAACTGTAGATCAGTGAACCAGCACTGTCTTACTAATGTTAATTTGACGAATTTGCTAGAAGAAAATGTATTTAAGAGTGTCAGTGAACATTTGAGTGCTGGTGCTATGTTGCTAGACCTGACAGACGCTAGCTAGCACACTAAAACCAATAGCATTTGCTCAGCTAAAAACAGCAGGTGGACCAATGTTGCCCTCATTTCAAACCAAATAAACAGAACTATTTTACAGTATAGTCATAGCTTAGAATGTGTCCATTGTTTGTGTACAAGTGCAGAGGTGTGTTTTCTTCTTATACTTGTATGTCTTGAGCTTCAGTATACTTGTGAGAGGCCTTTCTATGGGCAGTGCAATGTACAGGGTTTTACCTTTTGTTAATACACAGGCATTTTTGGTTCTTGAAATGTCCCACTGAAACTGTTTTGTGCATTTTGGGACTCTCTGTGTGATGGTATGTTAGTGTGTCAACCGCAATAGAAAAAGCAGTTTTACAACACAAAAGATCGGATGTTTTTTATGCTATACAATATGTTGCCATTTTTTTTTTCTTTTTTTAAAGTCTTTCTAGTACCAGTAAGATGATTTGCTGTGATTGAATATGAATCAACACCATACATTTCTCTTTTCTAACTTGTAGGTACTTGGAGTACAAGGCCAGAGGATCACACACACAGGCAGACTGCACACAACCCACAATATCTTCATTTTCCCAGAAAGTGCAGTTATATGCCCAACATTCGCCAAGGCAGCAGGCTATTACAGATGCCATCCTGCATGATCTGGTCATCGGTTGCTGCCTACCCCTGTCTCTGGTTGAAAATCCCCATTTCAGACACTTTTTACAAGTTCTGGACTGCAAATACACACCAGTGTCCAGAAGAACCCTGACCGAGAAACTTATACCAGAGTCAGTGAAGAAGGTTAAAGCAAACATCATCGAAGAGTTGAAGGCTCAGTCAAGTGTGGCAGTTACTGTGGACCTCTGGTCTGATCGGAGGCTTCGTTCATTCTTAGGAGTTACTGCTCACATCTGCATGAAAGACTCAAAGGGCTTCTACACTATGCAGTCTTTTTTGCTGGACTGCAGACGTTTCACTGGTAAGCATTGTGGAGAAAGAATTGCTTCAGCTTTTGAGGAAATTGTAGAGGAGTATGGTATTCGTCTAAAAGTAAGTTTTATCATCACTGACAATGCATCGAATATGAAGCGAGCTTTTAAGGTGTCCATACCTCAAGACTCAGAGCACCCTGACAGCGAAGGTGAGGACTTAGATGATGAAATGATGTGGGAAGACATTGATGCATTTGAGTCAGCTTCGCCATGTTCATCAAGTGAGCGTCTGTCTTGCTTTGCCCACTCACTCCAACTCGTTGTCAATGATGGCATGAAGGAGCTTAAGGCTGTTTCCCGAGCAATTGCTAAAGCCTCCAAGATCACCTCACTAGTGCACAGCAGCTCACAGTATAGAGACAAATTTGAGGCTTGCTTTGGGACGAACAGGAGTATCCCAGCAGCGAACACGACTCGCTGGAACAGCACCTTTAAGAAAATTCAAGCTCTCACCGCTTTAGAACATAAAGCCCTCACAGAAATGTGCAGTGACAGTGACAATCTTGTGTTTTCAGCACGTGAATGGACTCAGCTTAAAGAGTTATGTGCCATTCTTGCGCTCTTCTCTGAGGCAACAGACATGACTGAAGGGGGAAAGTCAGTAACCATCAGCATGGTGGTCCCAACAGTGCTTGATCTTAAAACTCATCTCATCAAGATGGAAAATCGCATGCAGACAAGTGCAATTGCAAGAGCACTGCGCATGTCCTTGGAGAATAGATTCTCAGGAATCTTTGGGAGGATAAACATGGAAGAAGGCGATATTGACGAGCCATTCAACCACCGTGTCTATTTTTTGGCTACTATCCTTGACCCGCAGTTTGGATTAAGCTGGGTGGATTTGGATGTGAACAATGGGGAAAGTGGGGCATCTTTGAAGAGGTTCAGAGATTAACTAAAAAAGTCATTAACAGGTTATTACTATTAATGTTAGTATTACAAATTGTTGTTGTTGTTTTGGTTATTATTATTAACAGCAGACACAATTTCTTTCTAAATCTAATCCTGTTGTGTGTGTGTATACTGTGTGCTCGTGTTTTTCCAGATATGTTGATCTCAGAGGTGGAGGCCATAATGGACAGTGAAGCAACTGGCTCAGTGCCAGGCAGCGTGGAGGACCCATCGGATGATTCACCGCCAGTGAAACAGCAGCGTCTACTGTCCCGTTACAAAACATTCAAGCAACGTAACGTGGCCCAGGACTCTTCAATTACCACACAGATAAACAAATACTTAGATTACATGAATGACTGTGCAACTGATGATGCGCTTGTCTTTTGGGCCAAAAACCATGATCGGTTTCCTCAACTCCACAATATTGCTCTAAAGGTACTTTCTGTTCCAGCCTCCTCGGCACCAGTGGAGAGAGTTTTCAGTAGAGGGGGCATTATAATGAGACCCCACCGTGCATGTCTAGGTCACAAAATTTTGCAATCACTAGTGTTCCTAAAGTGCAACCAAACTCTCCTATAAATATTGTGACAAGGCGGCACGTCAGGACTGGCTTCCAGGAGCTATTGTGGTGAGTATGAGTGGCCAGTTGGCTGTTTATTGTGTTCTTGGGGACATTAGAAGGAGGAGTAGATGTTTGTGTAACTGTTGATGTGTTTCTGTGTGGTTATGTGTGTTACTTTGGTGTTTGAGCCCTTCTCGCCATTCACCCTCCTCCAGAGAGTTAGCTGCCGGAGAGGAGTGAATGGCGAGTGAGAGCTGCTGTGTTGGGTTGAGGAGCAGTACTGGAGCATGTCAGTGGGGGGCACAGTACTCTTTGTATGCAAGTCTGTTTTGAAGCTGCCAAAAGCTGAGAAATAAAAAGATGTTTGCTTGAAGATCAGTGTGTCTTCGCATTCTCTCTCTCTCACGCTCGCCACAATATATAAATATATGGTTAAGAACGATAAATATACGGTTAAGAATATATATGGTTATATGATGTATTTGTGTACCTATCTGGTATTTGTTTGTGTGGGTGTATTGTTTAATTATTACAGTGGTGTTATTTGACATATTTGACATAATAAATCATCATTGACTTTATATAGCATCTGTCTATGGGCATTGTGTTGAGCAAGCATTCGTTCTATGCTATATGGTAAGTAATTTTAGTGATGTTGATATAAAAGTAGGGATGCACCGAAATGAAATTCTTGGCCGAAGCCGAATAATAATGAAATGCTTGGCCGAAGGCCGAATACCGAACGCGGTGTTTCGCATTTTTTTCCATTTATTTTGCCAATTTTTTCACCATTACAATAATTAAATAGTAAAAATTTGCTTTTTACTATTTTGTGTTGCTTTTCAGAGAAATAAATCAAATAACAAAAATACTTTTTTGCCTTTTCTAAGAAGTCAGCCACAGATGGAGTGGGTGTCCTAGGACTGGGAGGAGCTACTTTCCTTTTCGCTGCTGCTGTTGCCGTAGCCGCCGCCGTGTCTTTCTCGTACTCAGCATGATGTTCGGGGTGTCTTGATTTTAAGTGATAAATTAAACTTGAAGTGCTGTACGTTTTTGCAGATGCACCCCCTCTGGACAATTCAGCAGAACAGTGTCTGCAAACGGCCGTTTTTGCCTCTTTCTCTGACACTTTAAAGTGCTTCCACACTGCTGACATGTTTGCTGCATAAAGCGCGCGCCTCTCACTCTACGCGGGTTACTATTTGATCGCGTCATTAAAAACGTCATTGTTCGGCAAAATTTATTCTGCCTTTTTACTTATTCGGCCGAACACCGAAAGTGCTTTTTTTTGGCTATTTTCGGCCGAATAATTTCGGTTGCGGAACATTCGGTGCATCCCTATATCAAAGTGTAAAGAATACAGTTGGACAATTCCAGTTTATCTATTAATGGATACAACGTAGTCAATACCATAGTTATAATTCAAGTAAATTAGGTATTTTACATTCATTAGAAAGCACAGTCTTGGAGGTGCAAGTCAATCTGAAGGCTCATTCTCTTCAATTCAAAGCAAGGGATCATTGCTTAGCCATATTCATAGCTTACCTGAGACCTCTGTCCCTGGTATAAGAGACTTAATATGAACATCTTTCTGGTACATCCCATCTCTTTCCCTTGATGAGGTCTGATAAAGTGCTTATAGGAGAGGATTGCTGAGAATATTATTTTCCATCAGGCCTCGTAACTATGACAAATCTGGGAGGTTTTAAATCAAAGACATATGGACAATATAATCGAAAAGATAACATGAATTTGATTTAACGAGTAATGACACTTTACAGCAATGCCTTTTTTCGCTGCAGCTGATCTGAGTAATGTGATGTCGATTCTAGCCCTAGTCTGTTTTCGGTCTTGGTCTTGGTCTCGACCAGTCTTGGTCTTGGTCTCACCTTAGTGTGTCTTGGTCTTGGACTTGTTCTTGGTCTTGGTACCCTCAAGTCTCGGCAGTGTCTTGGTCTTGATACCCTCCGGTCTTGGCAATGTCTTGGTCTCGGTTTAGGTGGTCTTGACTACAACACTAAGTGTGATATGACGATATATATCGGATGGCGAAATAAAAACGTCTATCTTTTCATACTATCGTTTATTTCGTGGTGTCGCAAAATACACTGTTTTACGGCAACATTTTTTTCATCATTTGGATGACTGTTTGCAGTGTTGCACGCTATTATTTGGGACGTGGCTCTTGTATTGGAATTTATTTGAACCCCCAGAAGATAATCCACAAAAATGTATTTTTTTAACCTTTGTGAATATTGCTATATTAAACACCATAACACCTGCTACTTTAATTTATCCAGAAAATTTTAGAGCGATTTGTACACATGAAACATTACATCCTGCGTATTTGTGGATCATTACATTTGTGACTTTATTTATTTGCGGATTTTTGACCCTAAGAGGTCGGTGGGATATTTTTTTTAGTTTTGCATTCGCTCGCAATTGTGATCCCGCTGCACTTGCCCACTTGCTATTTGCTACAACGTGACAGCATGGATAAACATAAATATTACAAACATGTCCTTTAAAGTGTGTTTTAAGCATTAAACTATGGGGGACAATGTACAATTGTAATGGTGTACAAATCAGCCTGCAAAATGATTTTGAGATTCTAATAAAAATGGCCTGGGAATAGGGGTATAATGCTCTACAAAAATGGCAATGGCAGTTTATTTATGTAATACATTTACAAAAGCAACCATAGTGCCATACCCAAAATGCTTCACAATGAGCGACATAAAAAATGAAATAAAACCACAGCAAAACAAATTAAAATACTTCAAAATTCACAGTTCAGTTCAGTTTAACCCTCAATTTTCTGTTCACAGTTTGGTGAAATTTCAGTACAGCAGGGAAAACTGTCTTTGTTTCAAAATTATTATCTAAAACCGCAAAAAAATTAAGAACTATTATAAACTAAAGGCAATGCATTGTCTGACGTGTTTGAATAACAAAACCTAAGGGACACTTATTTAAACATTGTAAAAATAAATATGTAAAATAAATTAAAAAATAAGACTACAGTGGTACCTCAGAACTCGAACTTAATCCGTTCAGAACTCCGGATCGAATCCTAAAAAGTTCGAGTTCTGATCGAATTTTCCCCATAAGAAATAATGGAAAACCAATTAATTGGTTCCCATTCCCAAAAAATTACACCTAAATATGTTTTTTTAGCATTTAAATACAAAATGAACCGGATGAAACAAGAAGATCATATACTGTACTAAACACATCTAAGCACATTTATCAAAACAGCAATTTGTAAAGTAAGAAAATAAATGTATCCAAACAATGTGTTAAGTTTAAAAAAAAAATGTGTCCTGCCCCAATCGTCCGCTCCTTCCGTGTGCCACGCCCCCTCGTTAACCCCGTGTGGAATCCCTGTGTGATCAACTGTTTCTGGTTGTTGTCATTAGTCCTCTGTATTTAGTCTGCGTTTCAGTTTGTTTCCCCAGCCAGGTCATCGTATTGTCCGTCTGCGTTTTGCTTGCCTTACCTGTAATTAAACCCTGTATTCCCCGATACCCTCAGGTCTGCGCCTTTGTCTCCGTTCTGTCCCCGCTTTTAATTATAATTAAATGTATTAATGGTTTATTGTTAATATTAAAATAGTGAATAAGAAATCTTTATTTTAAATGTATTTTATTATATAATAATAATTACTGTTACTGTCTATCATTGTCTAAATGTATTTTTACTGTCTAAATATATGTATTCAGCTAGTGTAAACATGCACGATGCTATCACAGCGAATGCGAGGCTGAGACTGAAGCTTTACCCTTCGTTTCCGCTGAGAGACTGATTTCCCTGCGCGTACAAGTTATCTTAGGTCGGCGGTCACGGTTTGAATTCTGAGATTCAGATCGAGCCCTAGGTAATTTTTTTCTAACTGGTTGGTTCGACTTTTAAGAAATTCGAGTTCTAATAAGTTTGAGAACTGAGGTACCACTGTATATCATAACAATCATAAGGACCTAAATCCCATGTTCTTCACTATGTGTGTGTGTGTGTGTATGTATATATATATATATATATATATATATATATATATATATATATATATAAAAGAGAGAGAGAGATAAGCACCCCCTACAGCCAGTACTGGGTCTGTGAATAGTGAAATTGGCTGGCAAGTCAGCGCCCACTCGGAAGTTGGCACCCTGGGCAGCTAAGGGGACTGACCAGCCTGGCCAACATTACTTGGCAAAAGCTCCTTAAATGCCATTGGGGGACTAACTTGCAGAGGTAATTTTTGAGGTGAGATAGCATGTTTGCTTGTGTTTCCAATAACATATATTGGAATAACAGAGCCAAAACATAAGAACATAAGAAATTTACAAATGAGAGGAGGCCATTCAACCCATCAGGCTTGTTTGGGGAGAATTTAAGAGTCTTGGTCTCATCAGCTACTCCATCCAGTGCTGGTATTTATTTGGAAACCAAAATGTTCTCAAACTGCTGATTATGACTGACTGTAACCAGCATTAGCTGTAACCAACTCATAGCCACAATTTGCGTAATGTTTTCTGAATTGAATATCTACACGTGAATTCAAATTCTGCCCATAAAAATATGTATTCATTTGATTCATTATATGAATCGAACTAAAAATAATCTGCACTATACTTTTCCTCTTCCCCATTTTAGTTGTAAGCTGGTTGTTTTGATTTCCTGGACACATACCACTTCCCCCAGACGATCCGGGAGTCTTTTGCAAATTGATAGTAGCTTCCTGACACCTGTGATTGATGCACAGTGTCCTGCAAATCTGTCATTCTCCTATTCTGCGCTCAGATTAGCTGGCAAGAAGCTTTACTGCTTCTCTCCAGCCCCGGTCGGCATATCTGACTGCCAGCAACCACCCCCACCTTCACAGTCAGAACCAGGCTTTTTATACTGTCATACTGTCTGGACATTATACCACGGTACACAGTATTTTGATGGTACTTTAAGAAGTAATGCTATTCCAGTATTTTCCAATTAAATTTGCAGAGTTGTGTGTATTTGTGTGTGGGTGTGTGTGTGTGTGTGTGTGTGTACAGGGGTTATTTTCCATGAAAATACCCTGGTATACTGCATTACCACATTACCAGCCAAGCCTACCTAGTAACCCCATCCATATCCTGAAATCATTCAGCCTGGTGGGATGTTTGTTTTCTGTGACTAAACTCAGCCTATTTCTTATTTAAAAGAAGGATCCAGTGATTAATGTCAGATAAAAGCACATTAATAATAGCTCACCTGCCCAGTAGATACTTTTGGTTTAATTGTAGTTTTATTTAAAAAGAGAATTTTCAGGAACAATGTTTACTCCAAAGTTCACATTTGCAAATGTTATTTCAACCAAATATCTGCATAGTTTGGGTCATA